CAGATTATTTACTTTAACAAATGGATTTTGTTGCAAACAAAAAAAATTGTGTGTGAACTTATACTTAAGTTTTTTAATTAAAATAGAAATTATTTTTATCAATAAAATCGTTACCTCAAAGATATCTTAGTAATATTGTGTAACACTTTATAATTTTAATTATTAAAAAAAAAAATTTTAAATACATTTTCGTTCGTACATTTTGACTATTATGTTGAAACTCTTAACATGAAATAATTCATTTTGATGAATGGTAAAGTGGATATAAAAAAAAATTGTTGGACCCCACTTCGTTAATTTAAAGTTATGATAACAAGAGCATATAAATAATACATATTACAAGTTTTTTATGTTATACTGTTAATATTTATAAACCATATACAAACATGTTTAATGGTACATATTCAGCAGTATTTATTATATTCTTGATCAAATAGGCTGGTATTAATGTATTTGTTTTAATGTATGAAATATAACAATAGACATTAATTTATTCATATTGTTCGATCCATTTTGTTTATATAAATGTTATTGTTAATCAGATAAGCGCATTAGCTCGGTGCATACCAGTTTATTTTTTTGTGAAATATAAAAATATTATAAATATAATAATTTTATAAGTATATAAAAGTACTCGGGTGATGAACTCATCAAAGCAAAGGACGGCACCACGCCCACGCCAATATGTATCTACGAAATAAAGTATTCTAACTAAATTAAAATTTTAAGTTTTACGTCGATTTTATTAATAAATAGTAAACTATTTATATAGTCACTCTGAGACCGAAAACCACATATTAAAATCATATTTTTTTAAAAACTTAATTCAATTATAAAGCGGTATAAGTTCCATACCATATGATAAAACAAAATTTTTAACTGAAATAAATGTATACAGACAAATTTTAGACTATAATTTTGCAAGAAAACATTATTAAAAATTAAGCGTTTTAATCACAGTTAGAGATCTTTGATTCTTCATGGCTCATTAAAAAATAATTAATAGTATAATTTTGTATATCAGCGTGTTTTAGAGTTGATTTGATGCAATATTTGACTGAAATGTAATTTTAACAACACACTCGTTTGTTACTCTAACATTTTATATCGAATGGACATATTTTAAAATTATCAGCAATTTCTACAAAATACGTTTCAAAATAGAAAAAACTTTTTTTTTTTTTAATTTCTAAAGGCCGTTAGAGTTAACAATAAAAATGAATATATGCATAAACAGAAATAAAAAATATACAATGCTGTATTATCAATGGACGAAGCAAGCCTAAGTTGAATACAGAAATAAATTTAAAAGCAATCTTAGATTAAGCTATAAAATAATGAAATTGTAAATGTAATACAGGACCAGAATTATAGTGTGAAAGTAAAATAAAGAGAAGAAAAAGTTTGAAGTTGGTAAATGTCGAATAAACTATTTCAGTGGAAATACTGGGTAACAAGAAGATTTCAGAACATAAATTTAATAGTTACATACAAAATGACAAAAGAAAAATAAGGTTAAAGACACACATTCTAATAAATTCGAGTAAGTTTTTGTTTTATGTAAAGCCTACATAATGTAATGGAAAAATAATATATATTCACGATATGGTTCGTTGCCGCAGAGTGCGTCCAGCGTATAAATGTGTATATACATACATAGATCATTAAATGCGTTTTGTCCTTAATTCTAAGCAGATTTATGGCTCGAGTAGTAAAACGTACGATAACTGAGTAGCCAATACATATATGATGCCAAAAATGCTATTGGGCGATAAATGTGTAGCAAAATATTGACAAAGCGTCGGGTGAACATTGAATTATTACAAATGTTGCAGATAGTTAAAATCTAAAGAAACATTTTCTGTGAATTGTAAGATAATAGTAAAATAAACCGTTTACATGGTTATCCTAATTTCGGAAAAAATAAGATGGTAAATTGTTTTGCTCTACTATCTAAAACTACTGTTGAATAGTTACTTTATATTGCAAGATCAAAAAACCATTTTACCATTTCCTATCAGTTGTATAGCAACACTACAATGTATTTCCCTTTAGCCAATAAAATTGATCATTACTCATATAGATTGTTGTATTCATGTGATCGATATCAAACGGCGTTTTAAGTAGGCAATTAGACTACATGTATGTTATGCGTTAACCCACACCGAATTCTTCTGAAATAAATTAGACCGTAATACTATTGTATAAATCAAAGTTATCTTTTTCCTTTGCATAAATAACAGATACATTGTAACTCTATTTTCTACAGCAAGTGACAATACAAAATGAAATATTCCAGCCAGATTACGTTTCATTTTGCATTCACATAATTCGTATGTAAATTTAACCTACGTAAAACTATAAAATAAATCCTTTGGTATAAAATTCATTCTAATAACTATAAAGGTAAATCTATAACCAAAAATAATTTGAATAAACTTTAAACGAAAACTTAAGTTTGTTTGAAAAAGAAGGTCTAAAATCTATTATATTTAAATCTAGCTATGACGAACCGAATAGAAAATTCTTCATTTTTTTTACTTGTAGCTTAATATTATTACTATACAACAGCGATTGATTGGCCAACTGTGCTACTGTGTTATAGCCTGCAATTATTAAATGGCCGATTGAATACTGAGAAATTCCGTGGCCACATTTATTAACAATTTATTTATTTTTCATTATTTTAATATTTGATTGAAATGAAAAAATATGTATTTTTCATATTGTACACCAATTAGCTACGCAAACATATTTATAATGAAGCCATAGACGGATAATTGGTAAAATCATTAGAGGAACTAATTAAATAATAATAGAATAATTAAAATTAATTGTCTAGAGAGTTTATATATTATAACTAAAAAATAATTAAAAACATTAATCAATTTTTACTCAAGTAAATAAATGTCTAAAGTAATTGAATTGATGAAAGAAAAAAATTTTACCAGGCCGGTATATAGAGCGATATAAGCCGCAATTTTTTTCATGACAATGGATTGATAACTTTCCAGTCTATTATCTCTGCCCTCCTAATTTTCTATAAGTTTTAGAATCCTTCCTATATCAAAATAATAATTTTTTAAAATAAAATCTTTGTTCGTAATACTTAATTATGAATACCAAATAAAATTCAATCCCATGAAAAAGATATTAAATCACAATATTTAAATTTTACAGAAGAAGAAAACCGTTTATCTTTACTGCGTAGACTTATGACGGACTATTTTTTTTCAGCATCATTTTAATTCCTTGCGGAAATTTGATTTAGTTCTTTTCAGATTATTTACATATTTACATAGTACGTTTTCTTAGAAAAAAATGAGAAATTTATTTTGTCGGACTATATACCTTTTCCGTCATATCACTTCAGTTATAATTGAAAAAAAAGATGCAACCAAAGAAAAAATTATTTTATTAGGATCTAAAAAATATCAATTTTTTGTGTGTGTGTGTTAAATAAAATCAAAATTACAATTATGAGAAAAAATGTATGAAAAGATCAACAATTTATAATAATTGTAAATTACACAAAAATATTATTATCTAAAATGATATAAAGAACAAACACGTCATAGTAGGGTTGTAATAGAAATAGTATTATTTCTATTGCATATATTTGGATAAAAAAAGACACTACAACTCTTACTAAAAAATATTATTATGATCATTCTTAATGGCATTAATGTGTGTAAATGTGTTTAGATTTTACATATGATAAATAGTGATTTGGGGAAAACGATATCAAATTTTATATCAAGTAGACAGGATACGATGTGACATAGACCTTTTTGTGTAGTTAGTCGTAAACCGGACGTCAAATAGTAAGTCCTCGCCGGACTTACTATTTACTATTTAGGTGTGCCACCTAAAATTTGTATTCGTATGTAAAATGTACAAGTAAACTCGATAAAAATACAGTCCACATTATCATTAAAAATATAGTATTTTATTTTAATATGAAATGACGCAAGGTAACGACCACATGGAAATAACATTGTCGGCATGTTATTGAAATTGATTACACAATACTATATTTAGGATGACGGTTGCGATTAAATATCATACTGTGACAGGTTCTCACAATTACACTGTGTGCCGGGAGAACTCTTAATTGATAAATGCGCACAACATATAAAAACCATTTTCTATACCTGTCACTTGTACCTGAGTACATATACATCACTGTGTTTAAAATGATAAAATATCCCCAAAAAATCAACAGCATGTATTTATCATAAAAAAGTTCAACTTCAATACTTCTACAAAATAATTTTTAGTGGCGAAATATGGTAGACCGGCTCACCAGTTGTATACGTGTTAGTAATTGTTTAACAAAATGTGTTCATAAAACTTATAAACTATTACTATTATAAGGGAAAATCTACATCTTAACCGCATTTATATTATAAACATTTTAGTTTTACATAAACAATATTTATATTCTCCTTCAGGTGTTTGAAATTTTATTAAAAAAAAGAGAAAAATTTACATAGCCATTTTTATGACATTTTTGAAACATAATTTTACTTAAGTTTTCGGCTAGGAAAACAGGAGTTATATGCATTTTTAAGTTTTGTATAATAATTTCGAGTACACCATTAAATAGAAAACATTTTTATTGATTCACTTGAAAACTTAATAATGTGTCGTTACCGAGATTACAGATTTTGTGGGAGTTTATTCTTCCCAAGAAAAAATATTTCTACGCACTATATAATCCTATAAAAAGTTTCACAAACTGAGACCCTTCAAAGTGTCTCAAACAAAACGTACAAATTCAGATAATTTCTAGCCTACTTATGTTTAATTACTCTATTATATTATTTCTCGTTTACCCGAATTTATTTAAGAACACGTAATAAAATTATTTCAAATTTACTTTTTAGCTACTGTTTAAATTATTCCACAACAAAAATATGTTAATTTACTGGATAACTCTACTAGAAAAAACTTATTCACCAGAATAAATTCTTATCAAAAACACATAAAGGACTTACCTTGCATTTTCTCTTGGAAAATACAACTAGAATCAGGATAAAAGTCAGAGCGGTGATAAACAGCTGAGCACACAGTAGCCATATTCGAAGCATGAAATTTGTTTTCTGGTAGTTTATTCAAATATTTTTAAAGAGTTTTCCAGTGCTGTAAAAATTAAAAGTTTTATTAATGCTATGATATGTTGAAAATAAATACATAAATACTAAAAACTATAATTATTACTGATCTTTTACATCAGCTACTTGATAAATTATTTATTTATTTTTTTATTAATCTTAGACAGTGTAACAAATTGACTTTTAAGGTAACTAAAAAGTGATTGTTCTTAAAATTGGTTTCTTCAAATTAAATTCTAGCTTTATACTATTTTTTTTTAAATATATAAATATAATTTAAATTTATAAGTAAAAACAAATCAAGTTGATTGATTTAAGTTAAGAAATGTTGAGAAAATTAATTTGAAATTACATATGCTGTCACAAATTATACTTATAAAAAAACTTGTTCAATTTTCCACTACTTTTTTTTTATTGTTTTTCAAATAAACTTAATTATTTTAAATATAATATTAATAAATATTGACTCAAATAAGAGTAAATATTATTGGTTTAAAAATTGAAAACATGTTTGTCTTTATATTTTGTAAAGACGATTTTGAAATTATTAAAGAAACATTTCTATAAGCGGATGTCATATTTCGATAATGTCCGTCAACAGTTGTATAAAAATGAAAAATGTTTTTTCTGTGCATACATACGGCAAATGGGTTTATATTGTGTAGTATTTGTTTTATGAGCAAATAAAGCAGTCAGAATACATTATGGTTATTACCATAAAGTTAAATTAATATGCGCGACTACAGTAGATACGGTTGAGTTAAATAATGACTTAATGTCACCAAAATTAGTATTTCAATAAGCGAGCTTTTCACTCGAGAGTCTCGCTAAAATAACAATTAGTTAATCCTATTTTTCAAACGTTTTCAATATGAAAGTATTCTGTTGGTGCCATGTGGCTTTTATGGTATTTTCTCTCATACTGACGATTTGGATCGTTAAAACGATTACAGAATTGTTACCACAGCCCAAACTTAGATTGATGTTTTCTCGTACTCTGAATATTATACACATATTTTGTAATCAAAAGAAATAAAAACTTAAGTGCGGTAGGGAATCAATAAATTGGAGTTGAGGCGCTTATTTGATTATTATTAATTTATATTTGACAGTAATTAAAATCACTGTCACGAAACATTCGGTGCATATTAAAAACATTTAAAAAAATAATTTAACTTATCTACCAAAAATCATATGGTTTTTGAAATTAAAGGTTGATTATTTGTAGTGGATATGTCACCAAAATATCTTTATTCCTTAAATCATAAATAACATTAAAAAAGTTTAATTTGAAATGATTTTGGATGATTTAGGCATTCCTTTATTATGCACAAAACAATACAAAATCAATTAATTTATCCAAAAATTTTATGATTTTCGGCTTCATTGCCCAATAACTTCTAGAAAGTGAGATTTCATTTAATATTTTCTTTTTTCCAACTTAATGTACATTGTGTTAGTTTTGATTTAATGTAGGTTTGAAGAAAGTAAGTTTTTCGGAATTTTATAAAAAATTGAAAATAAAAGAACTCAATATGGTGATTATGCTTCTTTCAGTTCATTGGTACATCTTAAATATTATCACTGAAAACTTTATTTTGATTCAATCATTGATTCAAATAATTTGAGTGTTTTTTTATATACACCAATAATTACAACATTATCAAATATTATCAATAATAATTTTATAATGATCCATCCAGTTTTTAAAAATTTTTTGAATAAAAGTGAAAACTAAAAATATCAACATTGACTATTTTAATACAACTGTATTTTTTTGTGATATTGCACTTTATTCACAAAACTAAGAAGAATTTTTCAAAATTGTGGCACTGATTGATACAATCAGTAAAAAACCGTAGTTGATACAACTAGATACGGTTTGTAATCTTTTGACGTCCAAAATCAGCGAGAATATTGGTGTATCGGACAAAATTAAACGGCCAAATAAATCCATCAATAGCTTCTCAACTACGTATCAAAGTTAAAATGTACAAAAATATTTCAAAAAAATTCACATAATTAAACAAAATATTTAATATGAAACTAACATTTTATTTAATTATTAATACTATGACGATTAATGACAGCGCCGCAGTTGTCCGGCTGACTTTCAATAACGTTTTGGCAGCAGCTACTCATGTAAATTATTTAAAAGTTTTCCTCGAAACTAAAAATGATTTAGAGACACTAGCAAGGCAGTCTTGAGTAGTATTAAGGGAACTGTTCAAAAACAAACGTACATAATGTACAACTGAATGTTAATTAGATGTCATTATATCGAAGTAATATACAAAGCAAGTTCTAGCAAATAATTTTCAGTCTGATATAATATATACAGAACAAGTATATTAATACTAATTTGTGTATTGAAACGAATGTCAACTGCAATGATGTATCCATAATTTCGTAGAAGTGGATTTTGAATACAATAAATCAAAATTAAATGGTGTAATATTAATAAGTAAAATGAAATCTTACTTATTATATATCGTGATATACTATAGTATATATTATTTATTAAAAAATAAACATATTAAAACAAAACGACTGTAATTATAACTGAGGCATATCACAAATAATTAAATAAAAACGACACTTTAGTTCCTTTTTACAAAACATTTGTTTAATTAACAAATTCCTTTTGTCAAATGTTATATTAAAATACTTTTTAAATAAAACATAAATTTATTCACAATTAAAATAACATATAGTGATTTAAATTAAATTCCGTACATTTCTTTCTATCTGATCAGTGTGATATTTATTTGAAAATATTCAATAAATTTGCCTAAATCATATTATCTCTTTTAAAAAAATATTTTGGTATACATTAATGAAGCAAAAAAATCCAGCACAGTGGGGTGGCGGCACAGTGGGGTCGTAGCATAGTTGGATCCAGTATAGATGATATCTGACAGTGATTAAAATCACTTTCATAAAAAACGCTACGATGCAAATCTGTATATAATGTTTAATTTAAAAAAAAAAAAAAACACATCATAGTAAAATTAATACCTTCTCAGCTTCGCATCGAAGCTAAAACTTTATTTTATTATAAAAAAATCTAACATTTAAATTTGTATAACGACATAAGAACCTTTTTCATTTTTTAATTTTGATGCGAAGCTCAGAAGGTATTAGTTTTTTGTCGGTCGCTAATTTTTCTCAACTCTCACCAGACCCATTTCTTTTAACTATATGTTAATAGACCACAAATTATATCTAGTTGCAGACATTGCCCTAAAAAATTGAAAAAATTTCCCTCATTCCTTGTTAATAGTAGAAATCTCCAAAAGAAAATACAATTTTTAAAATCAATAAATTTTGATATATTTTTTTTTTTAATAGTTTAAGAATAATTTAATATCATTTTGAAAAATGAGCGAACCAAAATAATTGTTTTATATAGATATCTTACATATATATATATATATTCCATTTACAAATTAAACACTATCTACAGATTTGCATCGAAGTGTTTCTTATGATAGTGATTTTAATTATTGTCAGATATCATCTATACTTATCCCAATTATGTCACATCCAAACTGTGCTACAGTTTTTATTTTCAAAACTAACAAGTACACTAATTCCTGATAAACATATTGTCTGTTTAAAATTTCAAGTGGTACTTAATATAGCGTGTTAATTTTCAGCGGAATTATATTATATATATATATATATAGACGACCTATCTTCTATGCGCAAATGGTTACCGTATTCAAAAATATGCTATTTTTCTATTAAAATTCTAGGTTTTGTATTTTATTTTAAAATATCTTATTAGGAGAATATATTGACTTTCATGAATATTATATAATTTAATTGACATAGAATAAATGTCATAAGACATAAGAAATTAAACTTATTAAATTTTTTTTACTTTTTTATTTTCATATTAAATTTAATAATTATAATTAGTATTTATTCATATATTATATTTTAAAATCAAAGAACTACTAATTAGGATATAATCAAAGAAATAAGAGTTGATGTTGCTTTTGGAATAATCCACCAATTTCTCTAAATGAAACACTATCTACAGATTTGCATCGAAGCGTTTCTTATGATAGTGATTTTAATCACTGTCA